TGTCTTTCTACTACGCATCTATTTGTCAGCACTAAGACCGTAGTGTTAAACAGATTACTCCTTAATTGAAACAGTATGTATGTCACTGGTATGTTTTTTATCCAATTTCAACCAGGTTGATCTTTAGAATTGACAGAAGGGTTCATCTGCGCAAGTTGGTTTAGTTCAGGTATTTTTGTTTGAATACCAGTTTGTCCGTTTTCAGATCCGATACCAATATCTAAGAATGAATGTCTGGTAGCAGAATGTCTATCTTGACATGCTGGTCCGCTCTTCAATTGCCCTGCACTAGATAGCCACACTTAGATAGCTCGTTAAGAAAAGCTCGGCATTCTCGAATTGTTCAAGATGTAGCTGTAGTGCCAAATAGAGATTTGATAGAAAGTTAACTGTCCGAGAAGATTATGACATTACGTTAAAATCATAATACGGTTTAATATCTAGACTTCTATTACATAAATAAAAGTTAAATTAAGGTCGACTTATTTCCTGACAATTATAAATCAGTAATTAAAATAGTGGTCAGGTACTATAATATGTTATTCATTAAATTATTAGAATAATCAAGGAAAAAAATTTTTTATATTTGAAATTTATAATTAGCACATTACGGTAGCTACTAAATTTATTTTTAACATTAAAAGCAAATTGACAAAACTTCACCGTTGCGTTGGTAGTATCCACAACAGGCGATTATTTTGAATCAAGTGAGTTTTAGGCACAAGGCCGTCACTCCAACTTAACCTAACTAAAGTATGATGTTGCATTAGTTGGCAAATAAATAAGTCTGCGTTTCAAATTTGACAAGGAATGATTTTAAGGCTTGGCACTTGCAGTCTAAAAAATGTTTGTTTTTACTTGAATCCAAGATTCAAAGATTTGAAGCAGTTGTATAGTCAGTCAAACAGTCACCAATACTGTTCAAAACTATTCCATTTAAAATATTCATTTAAATTCAAAATTTTAGTAGTGCAGTGTTGGTCTTGGAATGATTACCTCTTAAAAGTATATAATATAATCATTCTCTTTTTAGTTGAGTGAACGTAGCAGTTCACTCACCTTACCTGCAGTATGAATTTTTTGACTATATGATATATACAATATACATTTCCTGTGAATATTGAAATAGAAATATATATATATACTATATATTTATAAAATATTTCATATGTTATATGTATAGTATTTCATAAATATTGCAAATACTCATGTTGGAAGCAGTTTCTGTAGGGCATTGTATTATTAATCTAATTATGATGAGCTTTACGTTTACGTTGGCTCTCATTATTAGCACACAAAAAAATGCAAATTTTTGCAAAAGAACTTCAAAATTAAAAGAACAGCTAAAGTAAAAAACATGTTTAACCTGAAGTCATAATGCAAATTCTGTGCAACAACGACGTTCCCATTATCAGAGCGGAAGGAAAATAATCCATGAGTCCATGAAGCGCAAGCAGCAGCAACCCTTCGTTAAAAGTTTCTCGCTATTGATATGAAAATTATAGTGCACAAAACACTGAAAATCTCACCCCATATAAAAACACTGTGCCAATTTATTCTGTAAATTATACCGTAAAAGTACAGACAATGAAAATGCTTCAGCTAACAGACTATAAACATAAAAACAAGTACTTTAATGTGGTCATTTAATTTTAATAGTGTTTGATATGAGGAATTTATTGTCCAATAATCGTTGTTAATCTTCAGTTAATTTTGGTGCATTTATCTATAGAGAGAATTATTGTTAATTAGTGTAATAATATATATTTGCTCAGTATAATAGCAAATATCTATTATGGTAGATAGTAAATAAATCTGTTTTTATTATATTTATTAATATTTATAATTTATGTATTATAATTTTTAAGAAACTCATTTTTAGATGGAAACAGTTTTTTTTGCAGTGTATATCCGAAACCTAGTAAAATATTTTACTGACAGAACAAAGTGTTTTCAACCCCCTTTTAATGCGTAACACGCACTTTTTTATATATAAAAAAAATTATAATTGAAAAAGTTTTTATAAAAACATATCAACATAAAAGCATTTGGGGAATGAATTCCCAACAAAACAAAATTAAAGATTGATTTTATGCATAAAATTTTTCAATTAATTGTTTACCTTACCTGTGTTGTTTAGAAGCTGTTCCAATTAAATATTCTCTAGTAATATTTTTAATTTAACGTTTAAAACATTGCTTTCAGTATAAATAAAAAAATATGATTTATATTTCACTTATAGTACCTAATATTTAATATTAACTGAGTTAAAAATTGTAATATTAAAATATTATATTATAATAATAATCCATTTAAGTTAGAAAAACGCACGTTCATTTTATATCATACATAATCATATAGAATATGATCCTGTAAATCTTGTCATATCATATCTTATCTATCATATCATATCATATCATATCATATCTTATCTTATCTTATCTATCATATATCATATATCATATTTTATCTTATCTTATCTTATCTTATCTTATCTTATCTTATCTTATCTTATCTTATCTTATCTTATCTTATCTTATCATATCATATCTTATCTTGTCATATCTCATCTTATCTTATCATATACCAATATAAAACCTTACTTTAGATATATCAATAATCGATTTTTATTATTTCAATTGTTGTAGGCTAAGTCTATTATTCTCTATTTGATTGTAAAACATGTTTACTACAGATATATTTTACTATAATTCATCACTAAAATGATGTATCAGCTTCCTGCTTTTTATATCCTTTGAACGAACTTTTGTTATTTTAAAAAAATTATACTTTACATTAAGTCTTAAAGCGCCTTATTACACTTGTTTGGCTTCATCTATGAGACCAGATTTGCTATATTTGGGGCTTCCTTTTCTGAGGATCTGGACGAACTTCAAGACTTTCAACTAAAGAGTATTTTAAGTTTTGCCAAAGGTTTAATAAGATTTTCTAACCCCTAAATTTCTTGTACATAACTGAAGTCATCAATAGGTTTATGTAAGTCCTTAGGATCGTTAGTATATTCTTACCTATTACAATATGTGTATATATAATTTTAAATACATAATTGTAAATATACATAATTGTGCATTACTATATTTATTTATTTAGTATTTTGAGAGATAATTAGTTAAAAACAAAACATTTCCTTTCTGTGTAAAACATACTCTTGTTTTGGTAATATGTGTATTTACAATTCAATATGTAAATATATATATGTGAATTAACATAAATCTCTTTCTAAATATCGTCTACTTCAACTCATAATATAATATTGCAATATCTCTTTCATAAAACTATTTGTCGTCGGAGTACCCTTCTAAAGAGTAGAAACAAATCTACGATAGTTACGATTATAACTGAAAGTGTAACTTGTGTGATTTAATATTAAACAGTCGTTGTTTTTGCGTGGTATATAATCCAGATCGAAGTGCATTTTCTTCCATTTTTAATTTGATTTTTCAAAAGCTCCAGTAATTCACATTTGCGTATAATATTGATGATTTCATGCCGTGCACATCTTTGGTGTTAACTTAGCTGTTTGTAGATTTGTCTACGAAGTATAATAATAGATCAGTACTTCAAAAAATCAACGTGTTGGTATTTTTGTTTGACTATAACGAGGTCTAAATATTGTGCTTACTTTACTAAAACTGAAACCTTTTTCTTGATGAATATTATTCCGTACCATTCCAAAAAAACAAATTATATACTCTTTCCATTCTTTTTCTTGGTGTCCGTTTAGGTGTTTATAGATTTGTCTCACATTTGTTCTATTGATAGTTACACATCGCTTTGATCAGAATCATCAAGTTGTTACGACTTTTGATGGATTATATGCAAATGTGGTAAAATGAGGACTACATAGTACTAATGTACCAATGAGTACTAACAGGGTTTTCTTGACCAAAAATTTAAATGTGTTATAACCTACATTATTTGGGATAACTTTGGATGTTTTCTATCTTTAATAACTTTAATGACGTACTGAGTATTTTATATAATTTGTGTAACTTATTAATAATAAATAAAATTATTATTATGTAAATATATATATTTTTATTATATAATTTGATATATATGGTATATATAATATATTATAAAAATATATATTATATAAAATATATATTATATATATAAAATAGATATATAATAAAAATAAAAAAAAATATAAATGTAAATTAAATAATTTTTTAAACAAAATTAATAATATTAAATATATTTAAATTGTGTCTTTTAGTTGAATACAAATTGAATATAAATTAAAATGTCATTGGTCTCCCAATATTTATTGTAATAAACCCCAATAAGTGAAGAATTTCAGAACCCTATCAAAGCTTTAAAGTGTTGAAAATTACGAGTTCAAATAAAAAAAGGATTAAAACCAAAGTATAATATAGAACTTGTAATTGCGGTGATGCGTTAATGTGATACGTAATTTCTTTATAAAAATTTAATAAGTTTTTGATTCTAAAAATTTACATAATAAATAAAAAATAAAACAAAACAAAAAAAAATACTTAAGAAGTAAAATTTTTTAAAAATGAACTTCGTCAAAAAATAAAAATTTTTTATGTGTTGTCACCGGTTATTTTTGATTAAAATAATTTCCTTTTTACAAAAATGTGATTTATGAATAAAATTTCAAACCTTAAAAAGCACAAAAGGTTAAAACCTAGAAAATTATTTGAATTTCTGTACACTGCACTGCCAAGATACTGACAAATATGATTTCATCGTATAAAATTCTCAATAAAAATTAAGAAAACAAACTAATTGTTTTTTTTTTAATTAAAAAAAAAAAGGAACAAAACCTGCAGAGTGAAAACTTCCAATTTTGCTTATATTTAAAATAAAAAAAATCAATTTAAAAAATGCTAATATTATCTTAAAGGTAATTTTTATATCTATATATAAATTAAAATTTTTTAAAAAATTAATATTATATTAGAAATTAATTTATAACTAAATAATTACATTTTTATTTTCTTTTCTTGCAGTATTTTTTTGTATAAACTGTGATTATGAGTTCCACAAAGTCGCAAGTAGCAGTTGCTACAACTATACCAACAATGTCCTCTCAAAAGGATTATAGCACTGAAGAGCATTTAGGTCGTCAAAACAGTTTTGGAAATAATAGACGAGTAAGTATTTCTATAATATAATATTTTTTTTTATTAAATATGATAATATTTTTCTTAAAATGTTATACTTTCTTAATATATTATAGTATAATACTATACTCTAATGCTTATACTTTATATATTATATTTGTATTTACTTATTACACTTTATTTTTACACTTTTGTTGATGTAATATAAATATAATATATAATTATTAAGTAAATTAAATAGTTATTGTGTTAAGTTGCTTAGAGAGTAATTTATTTTTTTTTTTTTGTTTTTTGTGTTTTTGTGTAAATACGATTTTGGTTTATAAGAGTTTGAAAGAATTATTTTATTGAATTATATATATTTTTCTTTTCGTTCGGAAACTCTTTTATTTATAAGGCAGTAGCCTAAACCTATGCATAGGAACTTTTTGTTTTTGCTGGCATATAACTGATTGCAGTCATTTCTAGCGTCCCCGTTTCAATTAAAGGTTTAACCTCTGAAAATAATTTGTAAAAACCACAACAAACAAAAATCCGTATTTGTCAGATATGAAAAGTACAATATAAATATATGTATAATAATATAATCACAACTGTAAAAGGTTTTGATGAAAGATCGAATATTATATCGAATATGGCATTATATAGTTTCTATATTGTCTTTATGTCTTTATTTTGTCTTTATCAAAATCAAGTGTCGTTCTAGAAAGTGATATGTTTTTAACATTAAATTGTTGAAAATTAGGAACTTTTTTCAGAAGCGACTTTCTTGTTCTAAAAAAGTAAAATCCATGTACTTTAATACTGCTTCAAGTTATTATATTTTATAAATCACCAAAAGTTACTTTTCTCTAATCCTTGTTTTGCGTGTTTAGATTTTTATATAATTTTATATAATATTTTTATATAATAAGTTTGTTTTCATATAATATAAGTTATTATATAAAAATAGAATTTTAAAAACACCATCTAAAAGCCGGCAAAATTAAAACATAGAAATATTGAGGTCGACACTACTATAAACATCCTTGTTTTCACTAATAATCGCTTAATAATTTCTTTCTATCCTTGTTTTCTTAGCTATTAGAATGTATTATTAGAATATAAGTCAAACCTATGCATAAAAGTAGGTGCAAGAATATACATTGAAGTCCTTTGCTGACAAAATAAGAAATTACTATTACAACAAGCAAATGAAAGAAAAGTAAACTTCAAATTATTTATACATTTAAAGTCCCTAATTGACAGTATTATCTGTTAAGGTATCTTAGGTTCTAGGATCTAGTTGAGGTTACAAAATATCATCACTGTCTGTCTGTTTAGTCAAATTTTTTGTGACTGTCCACTTTTACTCGAGTTTATGAAAATGATATTGAGTCAACAATTCTCTCTTGTGATATTAGAAACTGCACAACGTTAATTATTCTAATTTTATTTTCGAAAGCGTAAGTGTTTTCTATTCGTTTAGAGTTAATTTTATGGTAGTGCTCCACTACCATAAACTCTAATAAAAATTATTTTCTCCTACTAACTAATTATCCATCTATCTTAAACCATTCTCCACCTAGTGCCGTAGTAAGGATTGTACGCACAATCCTAAAAATATATAAATATTTTTTATACCAATGTGAATATTTATTGATTCTTTAAAACATGTATCTATCCTCTATAAATCATTAATATGTTAAGTGCTTTGTGGCGTATAAAATAAAAAATTTGAATTCAATGTTCATTTTTAAGTATGAAATTTCGTTGCAAAAACACTTCTTACAAATAAGAAGGATGCTTCTTAATGTTCTTTCTTGAAAAAGTTTTTAAAACAAACCCTCCAAAGACAATATTTTCATTTAATATAAGAGAATTTTACTTAATCGCTCTTGGAACTCAAAGCTATTTAGAAAATATCTACAAGGGTTCATCATTCGTTGCTAGACTAGGTAAGCTTTATGTAGAAGTCGTTTCAGTTAACCAATTTACCTTAAGTGGAAGTATTATTTGTAAATTTCCAAAATTTTAGAAGAAGTAAAACATTACAAAGTACTGAATGTTGTAATATATGTATTAATCTTTATAATTTCACATACCTTGCTTAATTTTAAGAAATTTTACTTAAAATTAATTTAGAAAAATATATTCTTATTACTTGCTTGAATTGTAATTATTATATAGTAACTAGTACTTATATATTTTTTTCGAAATATAATACTTAATGTCCGAAAAATAATATCTTACAAAGTCCACTTAAATATACTGTACATCGAGTAATGCATATATCTTTTAAATTTATATCTATATTGTAATTGAAATATTTCCTTGAGCTATGATATACAGAATAAATAATGTATTAGTTTAAACATTTCATAGATTTTTGTTGGTTTCTAATGAAAAGTTTTATTAAATTAATATAAAACAATAAAAAAACGTACCCTGCAATATTTAATTTCCATTTGTTTGAAAAAAAAATAAGTATTAGATATGTTAAGCATTAAGGGAAAATATGCTTTTTCTATTTGTCATATTATACTTGTTTTAAAGCAATAAATTTTACTTTATATTAATTTATTATATTTATTGAATGTATTGTAGTAATATAAATTATTTCAAAGAAGTTTCAGAAATAACTATCAGTGTCTATGTATGCATATGGTTTATCTACGAATACCCTAATACTCCAGTAATTCCAGTAATTTGCATTTCTTTATAATCCAGAAAACAAAATTAGAAAATATGATTACGTATTATATGCCTTGTAGCCTGGATCGATTACCGAATTGCTAATAAGGATCACATATTTTGAGCATATCTATTTGATAGTCTAGTAAACTAATTCATACTATATTTATAGGTTATGTGTATATTGTTTGTTTGCTTTCTTTTATTATTATGTTAAGCATTTTTCGAGTTAGTGCATCTGGGCACTTTTACTCTATGATAGCTGGGGTGATTCTGCAGAGTCCCGCCCATCTCACTGACTAATTTGAGTATTCCTCATAATTTTCGTGAATAATCACTGATTGATCTAAGATCTGCGTACCGGATTATATGTCATAAACATATTCACTCGATTTTCTATTGAAATAAATCTTATTTATAGGTTATATGCATATACTATATATTATTTGCCAGTACGCTTTGTGTACTATTTGCTTATACGTTTTCTCATCATGTGATCAATTTATCGATAAATATAATAATTATTAAATTTTTCTACTGTTACGAAACTGAATTTACGAATATATATAACACTTCTAGACTTTTAATCCGAAGGTCTCAGTACTACGTACTGAACTCAATTTAAATAGATTTAGATAGGATAAAAGTTCTACTTTATTTATTATTAAATATTATCTCCATATTTTATATTTAAAAACAGTTTATATTTTATTAAAACATTTTTCCAATATTTCAACTATCTTCGAGAGACATCTTCAGGGAAAATAAACAAAATATACAATGTTATAATATTATCTCTATACAAATATGAAAGTAATTATATCTATCTTACCTTACCTTACAATCGATTAGAGTTTTCATACTGAAATAATCTCATGTACCAAATGGTTGTGTTATTGAAAATTAGAGAAAAAGTATAGTGTTTATCATTTTGAGCTATATATGTAATTACCGTGGTATAGCAAAATTCCTTGAAACTAAAAACTAGGTCAGGTCAACTATAATCTATACCGAAAAAAAAGTATGCTGTACGCAAGATGCAAACATAATTTTGACATTGAGTTCAATTATGTATGTTACGTATACGTACCGATAACCCAATTTCTTTTTTACTTTGTTTTAATTTTGTTTGCTCATTGCAGTCAACCTGATTTCTAGAACATATTTACTTTTGAAAGTAGCACATAATGTACAGTGTATTAACATTTACTAAGCCACTGTAAATCTAATTATTGTTTGTTTAGTCTTTAATTTTTTCTAGGATTTTCCAATCAATTATTTGCTCATACGATTGAAATAATAATTAATTATTTTTGCTAAACAAACAGTGGGGAATTCTAAACTGCCGATACACTGTATGTGTTAGTATGTGTAGTGGTGGCCTGAAAATGTTGACCTATACCCTAACACGGCAATTTGATTTTAATCATACATTAAGCAGATGTCAGAAAGGGACTAAAAGCGTTAAAACGCTCAAACCTCCTACATTTTCAACATCCCTTAGGTCTGTGTTTTCATTGTCGAATGACTAATTTTTTTTTATTTACTTCTCTTTTTTTTTTGATGTGTGTCAATCTTGTGATTTCCAAGAAAGAAATTATAACTTTGGCATGCTTTTGCCGTTTTACCTTTGCTCCGCCAGCGATAAATCTACAATTATTACGCCATTTGTGTTTTTAGAGTTCAAGGTTCAAAATGAACTGCGCGCCTCCATATGTGTGCGTTTGTGCTCGATTTGTGCAATACAAACAAAGAAAATTATTCCACACGATAAAAAGTTTACAATAACAATTCAAAATCATATGAAAAAATTCAAATAAATAAAAAAAAAAAAATAAGTTAAGTTGTTTACACGAGCAAATCGAAAATTCATATTTGTGCTCCAAGAAAAATGTCAATATTTTTATTGTTCTTCTTTCGAGTTCTTGGAAATTGTTCTTTAGCTCGTTAACCCATTATGTATTGTGTATCAAGTGTCTTTTGCTGGTGTGTGCTTTGCGTGGTGACGTATTGTCATTTGACTGCTGCTTTAGGCCCAGTTTTCAGTCTTTGCCATTTCTACCTACAAACAAAATGTGTAATACAACAAAATCACAACAAAAATTATTAAAAGTGAAGAGAAAGAGTTTAGAGAGAGAGTAACCTAACCGATGAGCACGATTTTTGCAAAATTCGAAATTTTGCTCAAGGTCGATTTATTGATTTTTCTCTCTTCCCTTTCTGAAGTGGTAAAAAGTAACTTGTGCAGTGTTCCATTTTGGTTGTTTTTCATTGATACTAACAAAAAAAATTTTTTTTTTATTAAATTTGCCTTTTAACTATATATTTTTTTTTACTTAATTAATTTAAAATTAATATT